CAAATAGAAAAGTAACATTTTGAAATAATTTTACTATTCAAAATAACTCTGTTTTTGCTGTATTTTGGATCAAATAAATGCAGGCTTGGTGAGCAGAAGAGAATTATTTAAAAACAATAAAAATCTTACTGTTCAAAAACTTTTGACTGGTATGTTAGCCTATAGTTTGAAGTTAAATATATTAATATTAATTAGGTGAGTCTGAGATGTTTATTTGACAGTGATTTCACATTTCTTGTTTGTATGAAGGCTAAATACAAATAAAAGGTGAACATTAATTTATTTGTGCTGTTTTTTCTCTCTAAAGTATTATATGGTTTTATATGAGGTGTCATAGACTTGGCAAATTCATTTTTCATAAGTTTGTATGCACAGACATCTATTGTGGCGTTCTTCGCAGTTTTTACAAGGCATTTTAAAATAGTGTTCATATCGATATCGGAATTATATTGTATCGACCGAAATTGAGATATATATCGTGATATAAATTTTGGCCATATCGTCCAGCCCTGTGTAGAGCCGATTGTTTTGAAGGTTTGCTGTTGCTGTGTTGGTAGTTACCAGTCCCCTGGTGTGAAGAGATTTGTTACGCACAGAGAGAGAGAGCGAGAGAGACAGTATGTGTGTGTGTTTTGCTACTGTACTGCTTGTAAACTGCATCAGCACTGCAGTAATTGACAGATCGTCGATGCAGTCATCAGGAAACCCACCGGCATGATTCTGCTGATCCCACAGCAGCGCTTACGCAAATGCACGCTCCCTATCACACCGCTGCAGACATCATGTGTGAGTTTTTGTTTCACTCCTTAGCCATGCGCTTCCATCGAAAGACTAAACTCCCGCACAGGGTACTGTGTTCAGACTGACCAATATTCCTTCTTTATGGCAAATACAAATTATCTTTAAGCGTCTGATAACCAATGTAAATAATACATACATACATATATATATATATATATATATATATATATATATATATATATATATATAGACTACATTAGACTTCAACAATGAAACATGCATTATTATTAGGCATAACAATAACTTTAATATTATTGTTGTTTATGTTGTTGCAATGTCTTAATATTATAGAACTGTTAACTAAATTGAAAATTGAATTTCCGTTTTAGAAAAATTATGGTGAAACCAGTTTAACTCGTAGAGAATAGATTAAGTTGGTAGTAGTGCTGTCAAACGATTTATCGTGATTAATGGCATCCAAAATAAAAGTTTTTGTTTACATAATATATGTGTGTATACTGTGTATATTTATTATGTATATGTAAATACAAACACATACATGTATATATGTAAAGGTGCCATAGAGTGCATTGATACTAGGAATGTTAATTTCGGTTATTTTTCCTAACCGACAACCGATGCTCGTTAACCGATTATTAACCGTTAACCGACAAGATTATTTTAAATTAGAATTGAATTAAATTAGAAAGGATACGTGTCTGTGACCCGTTAAAAATACTAACATTTGTTTAATACCGGGGATTAATTTTACATGTGCAAAAAGCAGCAAACAACAGAACATGATGATTCACATGGTCATATCACATCATGCACCTGGCAGTGCTTCTGTGAGCGGAGAAAAACATAATAAAGCTAGGCTATATACAGTGGGTACGGAAAGTATTCAGACCCCCTTAAATTTTTCACTCTTTGTTATATTGCAGCCATTTGCTAAAATCATTTAAGTTAATTTTTTTTCCTCATTAATGTACACACAGCACCCCATATTGACAGAAAAACACAGAATTGTTGACATTTTTGCAGATTTATTAAAAAAGAAAAACTGAAATATCACATGGTCCTAAGTATTCAGACCCTTTGCTGTGACACTCATATATTTAACTCAGGTCCTGTCCATTTCTTCTGATCATCCTTGAGATGGTTCCACACCTTCATTTGAGTCCAGCTGTGTGTGATTATACTGATTGGACTTGATTAGCAAAGCCACACACCTGTCTATATAAGACCTCACAGCTCACAGTGCATGTCAGAGCAAACGAGAATCATGAGGTCAAAGGAACTGCCCGAAGAGCTCAGAGACAGAATTGTGGCAAGGCACAGATCTGGCCAAGGTTACAAAAAAAATGTCTGCTGCACTTAAGGTTCCTAAGAGCACAGTGGCCTCCATAATCCTTAAATGGAAGACATTTGGGACCACCAGAACCCTTCCTAGAGCTGGCCAAACTGAGCTATCGGACTAAATACTGAGCAAAGGGTCTGAATACTTAGGACCATGTGATATTTCAGTTTTTCTTTTTTAATAAATCTGCAAAACTGTCAACAATTCTGTGTTTTTCTGTCAATATGGGGTGCTGTGTGTACATTAATGAGGAAAAAAAAATAACTTAAATGATTTTAGCAAATGGCTGCAATATAACAAAGAGTGAAAAATTTAAGGGGGTCTGAATACTTTCCGTACCCACTGTATATATAAAAAAAATACAGTCAGTCAAACATATGGGGAAAAAAACACACTGCTCAGTTTAAATATGTAGTAAAATCTGTGCCGTTTAGTGTTATCACCGTACCGCCGTGATGTTATGCAAAACATTTTGTTTTACGTGGATATTGGAACGCGAGTGAAGTAGGCTACATAATAAATAATAATTTGCCATTCAAATACATCGCGAATACGGAAACATTTGATTTTGTGTCGAATGAGAGACCCAACATTGGTTTCAGTTTCGTTTTAGCCTAAATGAATTCGTTTTGGCTTGTCGTTTATATTGCTATAGCTTCTTATATTTTTAATTCTTGTTCTTTTCTAAACACTGTTAATTGAAAGGATTTGTTGTGGAGTGAGGGGAATTAAAATAGCCTAGCTATCTTTACAGTGTTTATTATAAAGTTTGTAAACATTTTGCGTCTGCATTAGGCCCATTTCTGAATGAAATAATAAAATGCGACTTATATTTTCTCTAAAAAACACACCTTTTTATACGCGTAGCGTATTTTAAGCATGCAGCAAATCTTTTTAAATATTTTGATAAATTACTGAAAAAAATAAATAAATTACTTTTTAAACCGTTTAACTGATTGTATTAATCTGTCAAAATTCTATACGGTCGGTTAACGATTAACCGGTTAAAATTAACATCCCTAATTGATACAATATTTTAAATTGTTCTATCTACATAGAAGGAATGTGGCTTAGGTAAGGGCAAAAAATCTCCAGAAATGGTTTTACATGTCCATTTACAACCCTAGGATTTGTCCCTATAATGAAATGGTCTGTTTTTACCTTATTTGGAAGATCGTTGGGTAATTATACTGTATATAAATTGCGGGCATCAGGGAGCCGCTATTAATATGCAGATATGCACGAACGCTTTGCATGATCGAATGCATGATCGCTCTTTCACTTTCGAGATTTGCGGTTGCACGTCCTCTGTGTAAACTACAGCGGCAGTACTTACCACACATTTTTCAAGATCAGATGCTTGTCAGTGGTGCTCAGGATCTGTAAATCATTCGCCATCATCCTCAGTCATCTCTCCTTACTCTGTTTATGTGGTAAGTGAAATCTTATGTACTGTAATGTAACAGGCTACCGCTAGCAAGCAGCTATCATGTCCCTTTAGCGGCTTGCGTTATTTTATTAGAACGTGTTATTTATTTTCCGTGCCTTTCTAAATACAGACACCAACCCATCCCTGCACTTCACATCCCCTGTACAGCCTGGAACATAACATTTATTTCCATGATCTGCCATTTTCGCTATTATCCACAGTACCTGGATGGGAGATCCTGACTGTAACGTCACAGTTGGTGTTATGTTCTGATTCGCCTATTTTTCAGAACTTATTATGCATGCACTAGATTTACATAATAAGGAGGAAACAAATGGTGTTTGAGGTTCACGGTATGTCATTTCCATGTACAGAACTGTTATTATTCAACTATGCCAAGGTAAATACAGTTTTCCATTCTATGGCACTTTTAAGAAAAATATGTTATGTTTATATATTAAATGTATTTATATATAATATAAAATGTAAGAATATAAATGTATATACATGTAAATATATTCAAAATATATACTGTATGTGTGTATTTATATAAACATAATAAATATACAGAGTACACATACATATAGTATGTAAATATTTATTTTATGTAAAAACGTCTATTTTTGATGTGATTAATCGTTTGGCAGCACTAGTTGGTAATATTATTATGATGAATTGTGTCCTGTCCAGATAAATGTTTTTTTAAGTGTGCATATGCAGCCTTTTCAGATTAGCTGTTTTCAATAACTAAAAGCAAATCAGCAATTGAAAAAGAATAATAAGAATAAGATCAAATGTGACTAAAGAATACAAATTACAAATATTAAAGATAATATACATATATCAAATGAAATAGCAAAAAGCCAAAAATGTGGTTTCCTTTAGTAATACTGGCAACAGGAAGTGAGTCATCACAGTACAGTACACCTGCTTTAGCGTGAGAGGGATACTGAAGTCTGACTTACCTTTGTACACCGTTTCCTTCTTTTTTGTGTTTCTCTGTCTCTCTTTCTCTCTGAGTCATCATCAAATGACTCAATTCTTATAATTTTTTTATGCCTGGCTTCTTTCGTTGACAGTATGCCACACATGCCACTGTTTTTCCCTTCCATCTCTCTCTCTCTCCCTCTCTCTCTCTCTCTCTCTCTCTCCTTTTCTCTCTGCCTCTTTCTCTATGCATCATGTCCTCTCTCTGTTCCTCTTTCACACTCCCTCCATCTTCTCTTTTTCCTCCCTCGTTCTCCTGTATTCCGGCCAGATGGCTGAGTCCTGACTGGGCTGCATATGGGCATTTGAAATGCTAATGTTGGTTAGTGTGCTAATATGTTTGTCTACACTGATCCGTTTCAGTGCCAAGATTACAGACTTGTTTTAGTCTCAACTTGTCAACAGATAAGACCGTTTGTGGCAGTTGTTGACCTAGAGCTCATTCTCTCGCTCTCTCTCTCTCTTTATCTTGTTTCGTCTCAGTGTGGAGGGACATCCTCAGTGTCCGGACACGGCTAGCTTTTCCGACAGCACCTGTAGTCAGGGCCCATACCTGGGCAACTCAGAGCGCTACGGGAACATCCGAAACATTCCTGGCCCTCAGGAGCCTCCTGTGGCCCCTTCGAGCCCAGCGACCCTGACCTGGGCGCAACGGACCCGCAACCAGCCCGCCAGCCTGGCACTCCGCAAGCAAGAGGAAGAAGAGAGCAAGCGCTGCAAAGCGCTCTCTGACAGCTATGAGCTCTCCACGGACCTGCAGGACAAGAAGGTGTGGATCTGCGTTCCTCAAGAAACATGATCCTTAAGGTCTTTTAGCTGACTCTTGGAGTTCCCATTCGTACTTGCCGTGGTTAAGGGTTCACCTGGTCATGGAAATTCAAAATTGTGATTTAAAGTGGCCTAGAGATTGGTCATAGAAATGAACAAATTATAATATAATATAATATAAATTATAATTTTTTTATTGACTAGAAATCACTCATAAATCTAAAACAATCTTTAAAAAAATAAAATAAAATTGGGAAAAAGGGTCAGTGATATTATGCTTTTTTTGTCCTGATATATTAATTTAAACAAACATACAACAACAACAACAACAAAAAAACATTAAAAATGAAAATCACATATACAAAGATTAAACAAAAATTACATCTCTTTTGTGATTTGTGAATGTCATGTTCTAATTTCTTTTTGGTGCAAAAAGCCAAACATTTCAGGATGGTACAATTGTCCTGATAGCATAATAAAGCAAAAAAAGAAAAGAAAACCTCATTGAGTAGTTTAAACTTTTATTACAATTTCTTAGAAAAAAGAAGGTAAGCAGTTTTTAGAAAATATGAATATTTAAAAACTTTTGAAAAATGTGTGGGAACAATGCATAGTACAGCCAGGATTATATCAGATGGTCATGGCATGGTGTTCTTATACTGTATATAGTGTGAAAATAAATGTATATCATATTTATGTAAAATAACACAAGTAATGTAAAGAAAATCATGGTGTCTTCAAAAAGCAGTAATACTAGTAATATCATTAATGAAAGGAAATCTTCAGTTTGTCAAACACTGTTTACTTTTTTGTAGTGTTTTGTGCTTAATTAATGTTTATCCTAATTCTCAGCGGCACAAACAGCCCATAGAAAATCTACTTATCACAAAGTGTTTGTGTTTTAATGTGCATGGAGGCCATCTTACAGGCTTTAAACTACAGTCACACCTCGAGTGTACATAATGGCCTCCGGTCATGCTAATGTGAAGCCAAACCTCCATCATCTCACATAATGAAAGATGGGATTGCAGTTATGATACAGAGTGCTGTTATGCTTCCATATTAAATACTAAGGATCTCTGCATTGTGAAATTATCCATTCATGTAGGAGTGGCGAAAATAATCCAACACCCCAACATCTACAGAATTACTGCTGCCCATATCTTTTTTCTTTTAATAATAATTGAGAAAGACTGCTGTTAAATAAATATTTTCTTATATTCTTTGTGTTTCAGGTTTAACCAGTAAAGCATTTAGATGCGTTATACATTATTAGGTTTGAAGAAAACAATGTATCACTTCTTTCTCTCTCTTTTGCACTCTTTATTCAATTCTATTCCGTTTTCACGCTCTCTTACTGTCTGTTTGTCCATCTTCCTTTTCATTAGGTGGAGATGCTGGAGAGGAAGTATGGCGGTTACTTCCTGAGCAGACGAGCGGCTCGCACGATACAGACGGCGTTCCGGCAGTATCGCATGAACAAGAACTTTCAACAGCTGCGCAGTTCCGCCTCTGAAAGCCGAATGACTCGCCGGATCATCCTGTCAAACATGCGTTCGCAGTATTCGTTTGACGAACGACAGCCACAGGCAATATAACAGTATAATGGTTCAAACCTGCATAAAAGTAGAAAATTCAGCTTGACTGTGAAATCTTAATTCTGTTTTATGATGTTTACATAATTTCCATAAATTCCTCTTTTTACTATTCATGATTCTATAGGTTCAGCCCCAGACACCCCAGCAGCAGCAAGGTCGATATACCAGCCATCACACTTCGACTCTGGGCACAGCTAGCCAGACAGGAACCACAGACTCACAGCAGGAGACTGACTCACCTGCACACTGTCCTTCAGACAGAGAGGAGTACTCGCGTGCAGACGATGCTTTCAACAAACAGGTGACAGATGCGTGAACCCTTAGATTAAAGTTAGGTTTAAATTAATTTCAATACAGGTCAGATATATATAGTTTGGGTAGAATAGATTTAGACTGTTTCAGAACTGGTATAAAATTGTTGTTCATGTTTCCTTTGAAACAAATGGTGTGGTCTTACAACTCAGGCATCATTTCCCTCATTTCTAAATGGCAAGCCACAGCATTACACTAAAAGAACATTTGGTTACTTGTCAATTAGCTGACACTTTTTTCCAAAGCATCTTACTGCAGAAACATTCTCCCTGGAGCCTTGAAAACCTTTATAAACAGGCACAACGGTCATTAGCAGATCCGGAAAAAAAATTAGATTTTCTCAGCTTTTTGCTCAAAATGTTGTTTTTTATGAAACCTACCTACATTCAAGTGTTGATGAAAAAACTTAAGTTAGAAAAAGTTAGAATAAAACAGATTTTTTTGTTTGAAAGTAGAGGGTCTGATCTTTATTGTGATGTATTGCATGTTCAGATATTCATACAACAAAATATTCTGAGGGCCATGAAATTTTAGTGAAAATTGCGATGGCTGTGTGCTTCCTCTCTCAGGTGACATCTCTGGCTGACACTATGGACGACACTCTGACGTGTCAGTCTGGCCGAGGGGACTCTCAGGATGGTGGGGGAGGAGGTGAGGAGAGCAAGGATTTTGGCGAGTGTGTATGGAGCCGCAAACCTACCTCGCGTAGGGTGGTCATGGGGGAGCAAGAACGTCTGGGGGTTATGCACGAGGACAGCACAGCTACCTCGTACAGCGACGTCACGCTTTATATGGACGACGGCATGCCGTGTTCTCCACTATCCATCGAGCGGGTTCCCTCCAGCACGGACACCGAGTACTGGGGCGTCAGCAGCGGGGTCGGAGGACGCGAAGACAGCCGGGATACAGAGGGCGGTGGGACCAATAACAGCCGGCGTAGCACGCCATGCACCGAATGCAGAGATTTCCGGTTGCGGGGGTCACACCTCCCCGTTCTCACCATAGAGCCACCTAGTGACAGCTCTGTTGACATGAGTGACCGTTCAGATCGAGGCTCCCTCAGCAGGCAGCTGCTTTACGAGCAGGAGCCTACGGCGGGTGGATCACCTCAAGGGACTCTCAAACACAACCCCGTCCCTCGCACGCCAAATCCCTGTGTGGCACAGGGCCAGACGCGACCCCCGGGTCGCCCCATCCCTTCCCCTCTTCCAACACACGTACCACACCACACAATGATGCACCACCATCACCACCCACACCTTCACCATCCGTTGCACCACCACCCTATGCCGCACATCCATCACCCCTACCCAGACCCCACGTCTCCCTCACCCACTCAGCCTCCACTCACGCCACTTTCTTCCTCGTCCTCCGCGCCACTGCCCACTACTGGCCTGGAGCACTCGGATGGGGACAACGACTCCCTGAACTCTACCACCAACTCCAATGAGACTATCAACTGCAGCTCAGGCTCTTCGTCTAGGGACAGTCTAAGGGAACCGTTGCCTCCTCTAGGAAAACAGACCTATCAGAGAGAGAGCAGGCATAGCTGGGACTCACCCGCCTTCAACAATGACGTGGTGCAAAGGAGGCAATACCGCATCGGACTGAACCTCTTCAACAAGTAAGAGACATTCACCAAAATAGGACTGACATTGTACTGTTTCAGTTGAAATTTTAAATGGTGAGTTTAAACAAAATTTCCCTTTTTTTAAATAATGATTTTAAATCAAATATTATCAAGAACATGCAGTTTTCCACAAATGAGCATTCTTAATATTTATTGTTTTATTTAATATTTATCTAACTATATTAATTATATATAATTTTTGTTCTTTTAAAAATGCATTATCATCCCACAGACATATATATAGTTGATTTAAAATAGTGAAAAAATAAATGATAACCAATATCAATATATATTTCACACTTTTTGGGGGCCCAAAGCAAAACTTTTTTTAGGGGGCCCCTGTCAGTGGATTCATAAAAATTCCAAAATGATCACCAACCCCTTAAACAGTTCTTTCAGAGCAGTTTCTTTTGTTGTTTGACTAACTGACTTGCACTAACAGGTTTATTAGGCTGCTGTCACTTTAAGACCGAATGCACAGATCTAATACTGACAAGCATTCGATTACTTTCCCAGCTGTTTATGTTCACTTAAGACATAACTGACTGTGTTTAAGTGAAAACTCGACAAAACAACAGACATTTTGACATACTTTTGTGTTTATTTGTCCATTTGAATGTATACCCGAAGCCCAAAGTAGCCCAAAGTGTTTTGCTCTGTCTCGGATCACATGCACAGAAAGCTGCCTGGTGAACAATGTCTCTTTTGAAGCTCAGTATGCTTTTAACGTTTTTTTCATCAAGTACGTCCAGCAGGAAACTTTATATTACAACAGTTACATTACTTGATTTTATGCTGGAAGGGTAACAGCTAAAATCAAAAACGAAACTAAAAATCTGTTAATTGCGCAGCCCTAGACATTAAATCATCTTTGGGAACAAGGAGGGCCCATGGTGGTTTAGAAGCCCTACGCAACTTGCATACTTTGCGTATAAGGATGACCGACACTGAATATGTCTCTTATAAGTTCATATAAACATTAACCTAAAATCTTGATGTTAGAAAAGTGTATGGGTCTATATATTGACATTTATCTAAAGATATCTCCTCCATATGGTTTATCACACCTGTCGTATTTCATTATTACATCTTAATATTGAGGAGATGACAGGCCCAGGGTGATTTCTCTGAACCTCTTTTCTGACTTAACACCTGTATTAAAGATCACAGCTGATTTATGGTAGTACAGTTTTATTTTAACACATTACTCCTATTATAAATCATGGATAATTCATAATGAAAAGTAACTGTAACATTTTATGATGCAAGATTGATGTGTTATAAATCATTTAGCACCTTGGGAACTTTTTAGCTGGGTGCTTTAGAAATCTAATTCTGATGAGGAAATGGAACTGTAAGCAATCAAATGGATTTTAAGATCAAATGGCAGAGATCAATAAAAGACAATGCAGTAAAGCCAAAGACAGATGTGAACCTAAATCCAATTGGATACAAAGAGTCAGATTTCATTTCTGCTGAAGTGTCTATACATTTTTCTACCCTCAGGCTGTTGTTGCTATGTCTATTTTTCCTTTATTTCAGTTGTTTAAAGTTTTACTGGAATGAATCACATCCTATCTGTTTTATCCTCACTCTCCCTGTCTTCCAGGAAACCAGAGAAGGGGATCCAGTATTTGATAGAGAGGAGTTTTGTCTCAGACACACCTGTGGGCATTGCACGTTTCATCCTGGAGAGGAAAGGCCTAAGTAGACAGATGATCGGGGAGTTTCTGGGAAACCGACAGAAACAATTCAACAAGGATGTGTTGGAGTTAGTAATGATGTTTTTCTGTCTTCCAAACCCAGACTGTAGCAAAGCATCCATATGCTGTTAACACCAGCCTGGAGGCAAAAAAAAAAACAGACACTGGCTAAAAAATCAACACAAACATGTTGGCAGATGAATTTAGTGATCTTTCTTTCTGTTTTTCTTTCTCAGCTGTGTGTTGGATGAGATGGATTTCTCAGGCATGGATCTGGATGATGCCCTGAGGAAGTTTCAGGCTCAGATTAAGGTTCAGGGGGAAGCCCAGAAGGTGGAGAGACTAGTAGAGGCCTTCAGGTAGACTTTGCACTCATCTCACCCTGTGCTCTTTTCTCTGCATTTCGTAGTTCCACATGAGGATCAGCTTCTTTCTTTCTAACAGTCAGAGATACTGCGTCTGCAACCCTGCACTCGTCCGCCAGTTTCAGAACCCAGACACGATCTTCATCCTGGCATTTGCCATCATCCTTCTCAACACAGACATGTACAGCCCCAACGTCAAAGCTGAGAGGAAAATGAAGCTGGAGGATTTTATTAAGAACCTTAGAGGTGATCCAAACTGAAAATGTCTTCAAATTAATATTTGGCTTCCAATGAAAGACAATAGAGAAGTTTTCACCTTCTGTTTCTTGTTCGTTCTCCCCCTCTTTTCATTGGCAGGAGTGGATAATGGACAGGATATTCCCAGGGATTTGTTAGTGGGCATCTACCAGCGCATTCAGAAATGGGAACTCAGGACAAATGATGACCACGTGTCTCAAGTGCAGGCCGTGGAGAGGGTTATCGTGGGCAAGAAACCTGTGAGTCAAACCATGTTTCATTCATGCATGTCATACTTTTGGTTGAAACCCCATATTGTTGTTCAGCTTGTAGTAAAAAGGCCATTTGATCTCTAGTTTGTTTATTTGTGTGGTTTAGTGTGAGACAAACCAAGCTGTATTTTGATATGCTGTGCGTGTGCAGGTGCTTTCTCTGCCACATCGCAGGCTAGTGTGCTGTTGTCAGCTGTATGAAGTCCCTGACCCCAATCGACCCCAGCGGAGTGGAGTTCACCAGCGCGAGGTCTTCCTCTTTAATGACCTGCTAGTGGTGAGTCTTCACTTGATTTAAAGTCATGTGCACTTACTATAATTATATAATTATATTGCATCGGCAAATGTATACCAGATGAATAGGCCTACTTTTTTCATTTGAAAAAATCAAGAACATTTAGCATATCCACCTTTTTCTTCAAAGCGAAAGTAAGCCTATGGGCGAGACTTCCGGTTCATTAGTCGCTATAGGTAAATAACTAGAAGAATAACAACGTGCAGTAAACTGTAAAACTGTTTGCACTACAAACCAGTATGTTCATAATTAAAATAATACATTAAAATAATATGGTAAGACACACCAATTTTCAATATCAGGCAGCAAAACTAACTGTTTTGTACAGCTAAAAATAGCTGGACGCGGATGAGACCGGAAGCTAGACCCATAGAAATTACAAATGGCCTTAAATACCTATTTGTAGATATTATTAAACAAATCACGACTATTATATTTTAGTTTGTTCAAAATTGCCAGTTTTGGTCTAGAGTACAGCTTTTAGGCACAATGAAAAAAAAACATTCAGTCATATGTATCTGAGCAATTTTGTGTTAAGAGTATGTATATGTATAATGATGATAACTACACAGCCTAACATCCTGTACGTTCCCGCCTTCAGGTAACAAAGATCTTTCAAAAGAAGAAGACGTCTGTGACGTACAGTTTCAGACAGTCTTTTCCCCTGGTGGAGATGCAGGTTCATATGTTCCAGAACTCCTGTAAGTATATTCATCCCTCCATCTGTCTGACCATCTGTCCCTCCTTCTTTATTTATACTATCACTCCATTCCAGCTCGTTTACACACTCTGCTCTCATCCACTCCATCACTAGGTGCTCTCTCATTACCCTTTCCTTGCTTTCATGTAGGTGGTGTTTTGGTTTCTTAGCAGTATATGAAGGAGAAAAAGATGTCTATCTGAAAATCCTCTTCCATCTATTGTGGCTGTGCTGTTAATTGGGAACGTCTGTCTTCTATTTATCATCAGTCTTTGTTTTGCACTTGTTTTCTATTAACAAAATATCTACACATCTTTAAAAGAAGATAAATTAGCTTGAAGTAAAATTCCACATGATTAAGAGCATATTTTTTTAATGAAATATATCTTTCCTACCCCATTGACATGCTGAAACACAGTACTTGTGTGGATTTTGTCAGAATGAGAGATCTATAACTAATTACATGAGGCACAGCACATCCCTCTTTATCTGGGTCTCTCTCTAATTGACTGCATTTACCCTCTATCTCTGTCCCTCTCTCTCAGACTATCCTCACGGTATCAGACTGACATCAGCGATGCCCGGCAGCGAGCGTAAGGTCCTGATTGTGTTCAATGCGCCGAGCCAGCAGGACCGAACACGCTTCACCAGCGACCTGCGTGAGAGCATCGCTGAGGTTCAAGATATGGAGAAATACCGTGTAGAGTGTAAGAAATCCTTTAATGTTACCTGTTGTTTCACACATGACATATCAAAAGCATGAGGTTCTTTTCCTCTTTGCAAGCTGAAATTTCAGAAATTGTTCATTATGGTAATAGTCAGCAGCCCCTGGTCTCTCTTCTCCATAGCTGAGTTAGAGAAGCAGAAAGGTGTGATGCGTCCAGGGCTCTTGAGTGGAGAAGGGGGCGGGGTTGGCGGAATGAAGACTGAAGCTGTGAACGGCACTCTGGGTAGGCCCAGTCTGGATGACACGTACACTGCAGGGGAGGGGCTTAAACGAACAGCACTTAGCTCCTCACTGAGAGACCTCTCTGAGACAGGTACAACACACATTCACACAACAAAAAACCCTTTTATTTAAACTACAGCTGTCAGTCTTATGTGTTCATTTAATGGAATTGTAGCATAACAATGCAATAAGAATCAGCTCATTTTAATTATGGATGCTTCATGGATTTCTGTAGACCTATTTTGTAAAACAAACAGTCTGATTTCTTAAGCCACCTTTTTTTCTGTTCATTGCTTTTCTTGTCTGCCACAATGTCATTTTTTTTTCAGTTTCACTCAAATATGGACATTAATTGGATTCAGTACAAATAAATGAGTGTGTATTATTTTTATAAACTATTGACAGCCCTAATTTAAATTTGTTTTTTGGCTTCTTTCCATTTGGGTAAATATTTATAAGTCCACCATAGTTTGATCATGAAAGGCCTTCTGGCACAATTTTGAAGTGCTGAACTTCTATAAAGAAGTACAGTTTGACAGACACTGCCCTCTAATGGCACATTATGTCCTTGCATAAGGCTTCTTGGAAAAGTGTCTGGATTTGAATAATCATATATCATATATATTTTTGCTGTTAGTATGTACACTGTCACAGTATGCAAAATTTCTGTGTGCATATAATGTACAGATGTTACATTTGTTAAGATGTGCAGTATATGACAGAGCAGACTATATCCCACAATACAATGATATTGACTTTGACCTTCTAAGTAATATCTAGAAGGTCGGTGTTTGATGGGGCTGCAAAGTGTTAACATATTTTTACACAAAATTATATAAAAAATACAAAATAGCCATTTTATAGAGGATAACTCACAGAATTAAACATAAATGTAATTTGGTCATGTGACAAACACTACTGTTTTAAATACTTTCTAAACACAGCCCATATCAAGTTCAGTGATGTGAAGTTGAGTTTTGTCAGTAGACATTTATTCATTGTAAATGGATCATCCAGGGACAAACACCTAGTATTGAGATGTTAGAAAATGTTTTCTCCATGACCTTTGACCCTGACCTTGCTGTGCTTGGTTGGGTACAGGAAAGCGAGGCCGTAGAAACAGCGTTGGCTCTTTGGATAGTACTATAGAAGTAAGTCAGGCTGATCTGCTAACGGCTTGTAATCATAATGAAATTGAATGATCTTGTGTTTCAGCTTTCCTGAATGCATGAGACTTCTGTGTTTAACAACAACGGCTTTGCATGAATTTTTGATTGTTGTGAAGTTCAGCATGTTTAATGCTTATAGTGTAAAAACTTAATTGGTGTTTGCTTTGCATGCAGCATGTCTAATCGGTTATGCCTGGTGCTAATAACTAATGCATTGCTCTGGTAAATGAATGGCCCCAATCAGTATCTGATGGCTGCTTCTGTTTTAGAGGTTTAGATGCATGTTTAAATACATGTAAAATGAGTGAGGCTCTATAATGAGGAAGCTTTACTTTGTTATCTGACTGATTTTGTGGCTTCTGAAAGTGACACTGTCATTTCTAACTTTGGTAAGTTGCTTGAGGCTGTTTGTATCTAATGCTGAAAGGCTTTTTGGGTTGTCACTGTGCAGGAGATGTTGAGTACAGTGATGTTACACGCCTTGTCTGCATGTACTTTTAAGTATCAAGATAAATTGTTACTCTAAATTATTATTATTTTTTTTTAGAAATGTGTCATTACAAAAATTATGGCTGATATCAATAAGCTGATAATTATTTTATGTTATAACTTAACCGATAAATTGAAGTTATTTAAATTATATAATATATAGTTAAGCAATTAAAATTACACATTACAAATAAAATTTATTAATTTTAAATTCTGCAAGTGATTTCAGTCATAACAATGTTTTGTTAAATAATTAAAATATGAAATATAATATTATTTTTACACTGAACTTTGTACATGATGGCGAAATTCTTTGTTTTAGTCTTTTTTTCTCTTTTTTTAAATTAGAAAAAAGTATAGAATTTTAATAGAGAGCATTTATTGGTTATAACATAAAAATCATTATTTCTTATAATGAATTTTAATATCGGTGTATTCCTAAGAAGTAACGTGCATTATTTATTTGAAAAAAGTAACTGGGAAATGCCTGTCACTTGTAATCCGTTTGTTCTGACACTGTCCATCTACTGTCCATCTATTCCAGTGTAATGACTGTCTGGTTTTGTGTGTTTGTGCACACTGCAGGGATCCATCATTAACAGCCCTCAGCCGCATCAACGCTTGCCCATGGGGGGCGCTGTTCCTGGCTGCTATGGGCTGGAAGACTACCGGCCTCACCGCCCCATCCTGAGCCCCGGAGTAGGGGTGGGGGGTGGGCCGGGGCAACTTCACAACGCCGTAGGCAATATGGGCGGGGTCCCTGGCATCAGCGATCGAGGTGGGGGGCCGGGGAGCAGTTCTGGAGGGAGCAATTCCGGTTCCTTCCTGGGCTCTCTGTTTGGGAGCAAGCGTGCCAAACCCCCTGCTCCCCTTACTCCCCCTGGGCCACATTACCCGGCCCCCGTGCCACCTCCTACTACAGGAGGGCCGCCGCCTCCATCCCCCTCCGCCCTCAGCCAGTCAGATCCAGGTGGGCCATCCAAGATCCAAGCGCTGCACGCTCAGTACTGTCACAACAACTTTGGCCAGCCTCCGCCCCCTTACCACCATCATCATCGGTACCATATGCAGGCCGTCGCCCCTGGCCATCCGCCCACTATCCATCATACCCTACATCGAGGGTCCCTCCCACGGCGCGGGCCGCCCGTTCCTTCACACGCCCAGTTCCAGCAGCAGCTATCCCATCATGCTCTGCAGCAAGGCCGCTACGGCAATATGGCCTGCACCCCTCCGCCTCTGTCCCCGCATTCGCCCAATTCCCCCATCGCCCCTTTCACCTTCTACCACATGCATCCCAATCCCATACGCCACGTACGGATGCCCGGTCCTACCGGCAAGCTTCCTCTCACCCTGTCTCACTCTCAGCCCCACCCTCACGCCCACTCCCACGTTCACTCTCATGCCCACAGCCATCTCGTCCACGCCCACAGCCCACACCCCTTACTGGATCACTCCGCCCATCAAACTCACTTCGTTTTCTCGCCGCCCCCTCAGGCACCATCCGCTATCACCGCCCGCCACATACCCCAGGGTGCCACCCACTACATCCCGCAGTATCCACCCCTCTCCTCCATCCCACCTCCTCCACCACATTCCCCGTTACCTCCACCTTCGTCCCCACATACCCCCCTCACCCCTCTTACCCCGCTCTCACCACTGACCCCGCAGCTCCCAGGACCCATGGGGGTGCAGTCGGGTGGCCCAGGGGGCGGAGGAGGAGGCGGAGCCAGCAACAGCAGCACGGTCGGCAGCTCCAAATCCAAACTTATCAACCGTATCAGCACGGTGGTGTGAGGGTGAACCGCGGCAGAGGGCGCAGGGTCCCAACACAGAGGAGCCGGAGCCCAGGCAAGAGGAAGCACACCATACTCAGACTCTGTTACTTCCATATCCGCTTCCCTCACGTGTAGAGCGGGAATCCTGGCCGGCTACATGCTCATTGCCAGCCTGAACGGCCTCTTGCTGTTGGCTGCCATTCAAAACAAAGGCTGTGTAACAGCATCAAATCTCCGTCTGAAGATCTAAGAAGCCTAATGGAGACAATGGTGAAGCAGGTGAAGTGTATTTTAAGAGTTTGAGTTGAAATTGACATGCATCGCTGCCAAATGAATAGGTTACCGGGAGAAAGGGGGTGCCAATTTATGTTGGACTGATGATCTGGAGTTTAAGAGACCAAGTTTGACCGTACAGAAGTCAGAAGACGACAATGGTGAACTCTTTAAACACTCAACATGGAGACGAAACTGGACAGATGAGTGCAAAATATAAAAGAAACTGAACTTTTTCATTCGTAATCTTTTCGGTTTTCATGCGGCAGAGGGCGCAGGGTCCCAACGCAGAGGAGCCGGAGCCCAGGCAAGAGGAAGCACACCATACTCAGACTCTGTTACTTCCATATCCGCTTCCCTCACATGTAGAGCGGGAATCCTGGCCGGCTACATGCTCATTGCCAGCCTGAACGGCCTCTTGCTGTTGGCTGCCATTCAAAACAAAGGCTGTGTAACAGCATCAAATCTCTGTCTGAAGATCTAAGAAGCCTAATGGAGACAATGGTGAAGCAGGTGAAGTGTATTTTAAGAGTTTGAGTTGAAATTGACATGCATCGCTGCCAAATGAATAGGTTACCGGGAGAAAGGGGGTGCCAATTTATGTTGGACTGATGATCTGGAGTTTAAGAGACCAAGTTTGACCGTACAGAAGTCAGAAGACGACAATGGTGAACTCTTTAAACACTCAACATGGAGACGAAACTGGACAGATGAGTGCAAAATATAAAAGAAACTGAACTTTTTCATTCGTAATCTTTTCGGTTTTCATGTGTCTCAGATGACAATCATTTCAGGGTCAGTCAGAAAATGTTTGCTTGATACATTCCTCAAAATTATCAAATGTATTCCTCAGCGCATAAGAAGGGCCAGCATGCACTTAGGGGGATGCCAAACACTATGTTTGTCATCTTAAAAGAGACTTTTATTTTGCCCTTTGAGTGAAAGGACAGGATTGGAACTGCTGAGAAAACTTACATCACTACACAGGGAAAAAAAAACATTATTTTGAATCTATTTGACGAATGTTTTATATTTTATTTTTTGTTTTGTTTTGTCTTGAAGAGGCTGGGCATCCGGTTTGCAATAAGTCAGTAAAAACACTTTTTTGAAGACCTCAGTGAAGTCATTATGTCATTTGCGCCAAACAGAATGTGTAGAAAGAGATTTTAAATTGTTTGGTTGATATTTTGTTCTTTTGTTTTGTTGCTATTATATAAGACAATTAAGCATACAAACCTAAATGCAAAGTACACAAAAGAGTCATGACTAATAGCAACCAATAATCAGGACATAGATCAGCGCCTCCTCTATTTATTTCCTGCCACCTGTTACCTCAGCATCTCTCTTTCCCTTTTTTAGCATCACCATTTCACTATTATTTTCATCTTGTCAACTTAAACAATCTCGCCTGACCAATAAAACATTTATATTTGGCAATTCATCACATAACCTTAGTGCCTACTGTAAAGGTTTGTCATTGGAGGTTTGAGATCAGTGTGATACTTTCTCTGGATGACCTGTTGGAGGAGCAGGGTGTTTGTATAGAGTGTCATTGAAATTTTGAAGTGAAATCTGTACTTATGGGCTTGGTTTTGTACAACTTCGGCGGTCAAAATGTGTTACAGATATCTGAAATATTTAGAAGTAACTGAATTTTAAAAAGAACATCTGGATATGGGTGATTTTAATAGGTTACTTTATTACTATTATGATGTCAAATACTGCTGAATATACTGAAGAATATAATTCTTGCTATTTTTGGTGTAAAAGCTACTACTAATATAATACATGGATATGTTTTAGCAGAGTGCCGTGCTGAGTGTTTTCTAAGAGCTTTTTTTAGACAGACCAACAGGCTAGTTTTTTTTTTTTTCTTTTTTCTTGGGGGGTGTACAATTAATGTTTAGCAAACTAATTGGACTGCTAATTTCAGGTAAATGTTTTGCAGCAAGTTTGTAAAACTATATTATCCACGTAAAAGCTATATGAGCTGTGTAAAACTCATTGTTGCCAGAAGCCATACACACTTGAGCAACTCGCTCTTTTAATATTGTGAATTTACGCTGAGTTGCATGTCCAATGTCAGTGCCCTCTTATTTTTTTATATGAAAGCGTATTTAGGGGACTTACATTTACACACAAGCACACTCATTCACACTGAGAAGCTGTAAAAGCATCTTTAAATGTGAAGATCTTTTTGCTGAAAGTTTCTGGTTTTGCACATACACAAGTTAAAGATCAGTGCCTAGGATCCGAAGCTCCAATACCATCTGTGTCCCTCCAAACAGTCCCTTTCTCTTTCCTTACTTCCCCCCTCTTGACAACCAAAATGGGCCGTTCTCTCTCCATTAAGCAGAATCATTCACAATATTACATTAGTGATGTGTTAATGTTGAGTTTTTTTTATACTTATAAAATGTTAACATTTTTTAAAAGTCCTACAAGGATGAAGACATCTTAAATAAGATGATTAATCTCTGCTGCTAGGCCCAGCCATTTATGTTTTATTTATTTATTTTTCATTATTTTCTTTGCCTATATAAATCATGTTGAGTCAAACTACAATACTGCTTATTCAGGTAATGGATTCCAGTACTTAAAATCTGCTAGCATTACCCATATCCGGAAACCTTAAAGGGTTAGTTCACCCAAAAATGAAAATTAGCTTGTGTTTTACTTACCCTCGAAGCATCCTAGGTGTATATGACTTTCTTCTTTCAGACGAATCCAGTCGGAGTTATATTAAAAATTGTCTTTGATCTTTCAAGCTGTTTAATGGCAATCAGCGGGTGTTGCAGTTAAACAGTCCACAAGTCATCAAATAAAGCTTGCGCATTCATAATAAAATGTGCCGCAGATGGCTCCGGGGGATGAATAAAGGCCCCCTGTAACGAATCCATGAGTTTTTGTAAGAAAAATATCCATATTTCAAACGTAATAAACTCTTTTCTCTCAATTCCGTTATCTATCATACACGGATCCATTCCGAGGTGTTGCAGTTAAACAGTCCACAGGTCATCAAATAAAGCTTGCGCATTCATAATAAAATGTGCCGCAGATGGCTCCGGGGGATGAATAAAGGCCCCCTGTAACGAATCCATGAGTTTTTGTAAGAAAAATATCCATATTTCAAACGTAATAAACTCTTTTCTCTCAATTCCGTTATCTATCATACACGGATCCATTCCGGCGGAAGGCTTATGACGAATGCGCAGTGCGCACGTGCCTCTGAGATATGCTGGTCTCGCGAGTTTGTTTAATAGGAGCAAAGGAAGCAAAGTTTCCTTACTTTAGTAAAGGAAAACCAGTCTCCTCTTGGTTTATATCGAAATCCTACGACATTTTTCTTTGCAAATCCTTGGTTTGTACTTCTAATTTGTGACCGGCGTTTTGTTTTGTTCTCTCTCCGCATTCGTCACTAATCATGCAACGGAAATTGACACGCCGGAACTGCTTTAGTGGATGACAGTCAGCGGAAGTGAGAGAAAAGAGTTTATTACGTTTGAAATATAGATATTTTTCTTACAAAAACTCATGGATTCGCTACAGGGGACCTTTATTCATCCCCCGGAGCCGTCTGCGGCACGTTTTATTATGAATACGCAAGCTTTATTTGATGACTTGTGGACTGTTCAACTGCAACACCCGCTGAGTGCTATTAAACAGCTTGAAAGATCAAAGACAATTTTTTATATAACTCTTGACTGGATTCGTCTGAAAGAAGAAAGTAATATACACCTAGGATGCTTCAAGGGTAAGTAAAACACAAGCTAATTTTCATTTTTAGGTGAACTAACCCTTTAAGGCCTTTGTAGACAAACAGGAACTCCATGTCCCTATTCAAAATCTGTGGCGTGATCTGAATTTAGAGGGCCATTCACTACATTTCACGTTTTTTTCCTATGGCTGGTTTTGCTTCTCTCTAATTCTAACGCTTTGCTCTTGTGCTTGTATTAAAAGTCCTGAGTGCTGGGGCATGCTGAGCTCAAACGCCAATAAAGCTGAGATGTATGATGTTAAAAAAAAATTCCAGTAGTTTTTGAGATGCGTGTTCTGGTTTCTGGACACGCTAATGTCTTGCTCCACCGTGCCCCATGTTGCATGTCTGCACTTAACTGAATGATGCTGTATAAACCTGAATGTATATATTAATTGATATAAATATGCCATATTTACTCTGCACTGGACTGGTGAATCAATATCTGGCTGGGAATGGGAACATGAATCATTGTTTACATTTTAAGGACCTGGGGGTGGGGGGCGGGGGGCTTGGAATGAATTGTAATTGTAAAATTGTATCAGTATGTGTGTGTAAGAGCAGTTCCTATATTTAAAATTAATTGTATGAAGTTTTATTTGTATATATGTATGAGGTTTCAATGCAGAATTAATTCAGAGAAACTATGTGATAATTTATTGCTCTCATTCTATAAAACATGTTCTTGCTGTTGGAAAGTTGTTTTTATATATTTCTGAGTGGGCTGTGTGTTTCTCTATTTTGGTGTGTGTGTGTGTGTGTGTACAGTATGAATGTGTGTGTTGTGTGCATACAAGTATGAAATCATGGTTAATGACAGATTATTATATTAAGCATACAAAATTGTTTTATTTGTTTTCAAATGTTATATTTTATATGGTCTCAGCAATGCATTGAAATAACCACTCAAGAACTAATGCACATTACACATTGTATAATTAGGACTACTGATATCAATCAACAGGTACCATATGAGTATAACTGTAGATTTCTACATTTTTATCTAACACCAAGACAGAAATGGCAAATGATGATGGATAAAGTCCTCTGGTCACATACATTTGTATACTGAGAAATGGAAGTTCTCCACTAAAGTGTATTTCTGGCATGTACATTATAGTCAAAATCATGCAAAATTAGTTGAGCTGAACAAGTGGCTCTCATCACCAAACTGGTCAAAACTCTTAAGGCCATTTTCTACAAAATTTTCAAAGAGTTTTGGACACTTACAAATATGTTAACACATTTGTATATCATTAAATAAGAATATCCCCTCTTTTTAGCTCCTTCGCTACACTTATGTCCACCACTTCAGGTTAAATGCTCCTAATAACAGTATATCAAAATGTACAATTTGTTTTCATTTTGAAGCTGGTTAGATTTCATGGGTTCCAGTGTGTTTTGTGCTTCCCCTTTTGCTGGTGTTTAGTATGTGTCCGCACTAGGCCACATAGGCTTGTGAAAGTCGTTCCTTAACTTAGGGTGTTAGGAAAAAGAATTACCATACATTCAAAAATTAAAAGCACATTGTGGCTTACATTGTGCTTTTGTCATATTTGGGTCATAATGAACAGTACAGAGGGATAGTGTAAACAGACAATCACAAACATGCAGTACAAATGTTCAGCACCACATCTCTGTATGAAAGTTTAACATGATTGTGTCTGCACAGGTTAAGCACTTATATGATGTAATTAGAGCAGTAAATTGTACAAAAGTCTTATTGATATTCCATCCCCCAATTATTCTCAATGAAAATTCAAGAGTTAAGAAATTGAATCATTCTTTTGTGCAGCTGTGAGGAAGTTACCAAATGAATTACATTTGTCCAATATGTTTGCTTGCAATGAGCAGATTTTTATTAAGACCTGTCTGCTTGTATATGCTTGTCTGCTTTGTGGTGTATACGTTGTGCTTGTCTGTGTACGTTCAGTCAACATTCATAATCTTTTGAGTGTCTTTGTCACTCAGCCATGTGCTGTTTTCAGTTTAAAGTCAAACAGAAATCCTCGAAAGCAGATGCTTGGCCTCAAGAGGAGTGATAATGTCTATTGAGAAGCAATACAATGTGTCATTCATTAATCAAGAAAATCAAGTTTTTCCTCAAACTTAAAAGTATCGCCACGCGTGAACAATTACTTGACTTTTTAATTAGTATTTTTTTATTTGTTTTCCGAAAAACCTAAAAATCTTTGAAAGGTACATTTACTTGAGAAACAACACTAAGACTTGAAATAATGTATATTTTATATGGGCATGAGTATAATACATTTTAAAACAATAGATGAGTATCTATGAAAACAAGTTTTTATCTAGTGTTGCTTCTCAAGTAAATTCATCTTGTTTCAGGGACTTTAAGATATTTTAACTCTAAGTACTCGTTACAAAATTATTTGTTGAAATTAATGAGCGGTAGTTGCTAGACGTTGCTCAGCCATATTAGTAATGTAGACAGATGACCCTTGAAACTGTTGAGAACTGTTCAAGAAAGTATTTGATAATTCGGTAAAATAGATTCTCTTCCTGTTGTCCTTCCTCACCATCCTTTCAGACTGTGGTAACAGACAGAAGAGGATTATACACCTTCGTCCCGTCTGGAGAGCGAGAGCCATGTGCAAGTAGCTCTTGGATGGTGATCCAGTTGTCCAGTATGCGTCGGTTGCGTTTCTTGGAGCTCTTTTTCTGACTGAGCTCCAGGATTGAGGCTGGGTTCTGGCCGGACTCCGACTGGCTCTCCTTGCCCATATCCAGACCGTGTTCTCGCATATATTCCAAGCGACTTTGCATCATAAACTCTCGGCGTCTGCGCTGCTCGCGGGCCCTCAGCAGATGTTGCTTACGCTCTTCTTTGCTCCAGTAGCGACCCATCTTCATTTCGCTCACTGCATCGTCATCAGTCGTCATTCCGCTACGCTCCTCACGGATCTTCATAGCTCGGGCTTTCAAGAGCCGGTCTCGGACAGGACGTTTGGCCACATAGCGGGTCCCATCGCTTCTTATCTTCACCTTCCACTCCATGCGTGGTGATGCAGGGGGAAGTGGCAAAGGTAAGGCCAGAGAAAGCTTCACTGGGCTGGGGTGAGGCAACGACCCAAAGGTGCTATTCCCATGGCCCTCACGGTCACTGCCGCCCACTGGTGCCTCACTTTCTCCTTCCACAGCTCTATCCAAGGGTCCAGAACTCTCAGAAAGTGAGGATCCCAGATGCATGCAACTCTGGTATCGTTCTGGAGTGAAACAGTTGGAATGACGGCGACGAGTGAAGTAAGGACTTGACTCCGCGCTACGACCTCCATTCCTGTTATGGCCACTCACCCTAGAATTTACACCCTGTGTCACTCCTTCAGGCATGCGACGGACGGTTCCTTCTCTTGTGAGTGAGCAGAATTTCTGGTTCATAGGGTTGTTAGTCTGAAACTTCTTGTAGCTGCTTGGTGAATATGAACTGTTGAGGCTTGCTCGTCCTCTTTCACTCCAGGTTGGTCGGTCCCTGTGTCTGCTTGGCAGAGGACTTGTGGACTCATCGATTTGAGAAACTGGAAGTCGATGCTCACTCACCATAGGTGTGCTCCTGCAGCTCTCTCCCCCGGTGTTATAAGCGCTGGTGCTGTCCTTGTCCTTGTCCGAACGTTCCTTCTCTGGAAGTTCATTGATGTCAGACAGCTCGTGCAATGGAGACCCCTGAGGTTCTGCAGACGCCCGGCCTGATGTTTCTTCCTCCATCAGCCAGGCTTTTAAACAGCGTTCTCTTAACTGCTGCATCTTCTGTGCTCGTAGAATGTTCCGGCACTTAAACTCAAGGTGCCTCATTTCCTCTTCCAGGAGCGCCATCTCATGTGGAGTCAGGTTCTCGTTACTGTTCTCATCCAGAGTCTCCTCCCTATTCTCAGCGTCCTCTTGTGTCTCTCCTTCTTTCTGCTCCTCTTCTTGAACCTGCTGCACTTTCTTCATCCTCTTCTCATAGCGACACTTGATTTCCAGAAGCTGCCTGTACCTCTCGCATTCCTCTTCTGTCAGGCCCGGCATTATCATCCCACTGACGGGATCGTGAAGGTAACCACCACCCACGCTTCCACAGTCCAGTGAGTCTGTGCTAAGGTGAAGCTCTCGGAGAGGGAACAGTGGCGATGGCGTGTCGTTCCCTCCTCCACCGTTCCTGCCGGGTCTAAACTTGCGCAAGCTGCCAGGTGTGTTAGTGGCATTTGTGTTGGAGGTGCTGGTCTGCTCATCGCCCAGAAGGATGTCATGCTCGGAGGATTCTTCATTCTTTGTGCTCTCATCTGTTCGGCCCACACCACTGTCAAGCTCTTGACTGTTGCTGAGAGTTGCTAAGCTGAGCATGGGTGTCTCTTGATGTAGGGTTTCCTCAGGAATGCCTGCTTGGGGTCTCTGTTGGCGGAAATGGTAAAGGCCGGGCAGATGGGAAGTATTAAGGCTGTCCACACTCATCCCTTCAGGTAACTCACAGTCAATCTCCTCTGGGTCCAAATGAGTGTCCGTCTAGGTGAAAGGCACAAAGGAAGAGAAGATAAAAAGAAAGTAAGAGGGAAGAGTTAGAGGCTGAACATCACCAGTATTGCCATAAAAATAAATACATGCAGTAATGCACTTCAACACTAGATGGCAATATAGACATTTGTTTAAATGTGTGCAACATGTTTAGTTGTAAAGCACAAATTATGAGGCCTATTATTATTAAACCACATTGAGGTCTAGTATTTTCATACTTACACACACAAATATATATATATATTTATTCAATTAAATTTATCCATCCACCTTATTTTTCCCAAAAGAGCAGGCGTGGCCATTTGTAAATTTAATGTGTCTGGCCTCCTGTCTCATCAGCTTCCAACCATTTTTAGCTGTACAAAACAGCTCGTTTTGCTGCTTGATATTGCAAACTGGTGTTTCTTACCGTATTATTTCAATGTGTTATCTCTCTCGGTTCTGCACTTCCATCCCATTTATCTAATGTGGGACAGACAGAGACTTCATTCACAGCCATGTTCAAACACAAAAGGTCAGCTCTTTTCCCCAAACAACATAACATCTAAACATCAGCAAAAGAGTGGTCCTTGGTGTCAGTGTCACATCAGAAACCAAAATAAATGAAGAACTTTTTGAGACAAAGGCAACATGACACATCGTCTTTGCTGTTCTGTAATTATTCTCTAGAGTAATTGTGTGAGCTGTGTTAAAAGTCACACCAATTATCTGTTTATAGACTGATTGTCTCTAGAAACGCTTGACCTACCAGATGAATGTAATGACATGATGATGTCAGTTCATCAGTGGTTGTTGTTGATGTCATTTGACTTTAGCAGCACATCTGAGCAAAAAACATACCTGTAATATCCTGTCCCCCTTCCTGATTCTTCCATCTTTTGCTGCTATGCTGTTTGGATTCACCTACGAACCGGGAATGTTTAAATATCAGCTGGATAACTTGAATAACTCAGCTAAATACTTAGTATACGGTTGTGCTGAGCAGTAAAATAGCTTTCAGCCTCATGTGGTCACTCACTTCCCCAACGTAGATGCCTTGGTCTTCCTCATCGTCTGTCCGGTAACAGACTGTTAGCCCCAGTTTATCCTGCTGACTCGACTTATACAGCTCCACCTCCTGACAAAGACAGAGAGGAAGAGCTGTTTATAGGGCAGAGATTAAACCCTCGGCTTTAAAGATGCACCGGGACAGAAAACCAGCTAGAGCAAATTTATGAAATATTATAGGTTGGGGTAATGTGTACGAGTTACTGGTCTTCTGTTAATCCATGTAATCCCATTTTTTCCCCTTAGAGGGAATGTGTTTTATTTATATATTACATTATTTATTTTATTATATTATTGAATCAACCAATCTGTATTTAAAATTGTTTTGTTTTTTAATTATTTTTTTTAATTTATTTATTTATTTTTGCAGATAGTCAAAATTATGAACATATTATGGAGAACAGCTCTGGGCATTTATGCCACCCAGGGTTAAAAAAAAATCAATGGGATTTAATTAGTTTAAAATATTGGTTACTCGTGTATGGTTGAATATAAAAGGCTATTACGATTTTTTGCTTTCCCACCTCATATTCTAGTTCCTCTTGTTGATCCACCTCATGGGGACAGAGTGGGTCCATTAACTTTGCATGTGCCTCAAAAAACCTATTTTTGTGTGTATGTGTGTACCATTTAATTGCTCAGAGGATGTGAGATTTGGGGGGGGGGATGATTTAATGGTTTATGTGCTCTTTTAGTCTCTGCTTTGTCTAAAAGGTTTGTCCTAAAAAAGACAAAATATGGTGTTATGAGAAGCAATTTGCTCCATTTTATCATATTACTGTCTAGGTCAAATAATTGATATCTAAAAGACGTTTCATTCTATTTTGTTAGCATGTACGCTCATAAATGTATGCATTTTTCCTCTTTATTCTAATGTGTTTCTTTCTCTTTCACATTTGTGTTATATTTATTTACCTCTATCTCTGGTCTGGCCAGCAGTAATGAGAAGTTGGTGCTGTCCTCACGGGTCAGGATGGCCACCGCTTCCTCTCGGTTCTGCACTTCCATCCCATTTATCTAATGTGGGACAGACAGAGACTTCATTCACAGCCATGTTCAAACACAAAAGGTCAGCTCTTTTCCCCAAACAACATAACATCTAAACATCAGCAAAAGAGTGGTCCTTGGTGTCAGTGTCACATCAGAAACCAAAATAAATGAAGAACTTTTTGAGACAAAGGCAACATGACACATCGTCTTTGCTGTTCTGTAATTATTCTCTTCCTCTTGTTGATCCACCTCATGGTTGGCAACATTGAAGTAGTCATTTGGATCACTATATTCTTGCCCCAGAGAACCACTGTGAAAAGACATGTGTTTCTTCAGCAGGTTTTCAGCATTTGTCCATCCCACAGACACACACAGATAGTAATGAGTGATCAAGAGGCAGAGGACAGTGAAGACGCTCACAGGTCATTCAGCAGGTATGGCTCCACCAGCTGTGCGAGGGGAGGGGAGGGTGGGGGCATAGGTGATCCACTGCTCGGGTAAGACCCTCTGTCCCCATTCAGGAAGTTCTGGAAGCTGATGTCGGTCTGGGTGCCGTTGTCCACACAGTCTGTGATCTCCATGAGCCGAGCCGTGCCAGCAGCTGCACCCAATCTCCTCCTGTGACCCTTATGTACCACCTGAAGCAGGAGAGGGTCATGAGGTTGCCCATCTTTATCCTGAGACAGGTGAGATGTTCTTCTACCTTTGAGCTGCAGACAGTGAAAAGAATGCCATTGTATACCCATTTAAAAAAGAATGTACTTATTGGTTGTTATTGGTTGCACTTCTAAAAGTGCTGAAGCAGCACTAGAGAATGAAGTGGAGAAAGAGGGAGACAGGGATAAGAAAAATGAGAGAAGGAGAGAGGGAAGATAAATGCACAAATAAGCAAAACTCAAGGAAGGATGTAGTTCTGCTCCTCCTTGGTGAGAAGAAACATTGCAAAGCAGCAAAAATGGCTATTGCAAGACGAGCATGAGCTCTCCATCATCCCATCACAAAAAAAGAAATAGAAAGACAAGAAACTGCAAATATATAAAATACTGATTTTATAGAAGATTCTGTTGCTTTATCATTCAAAAGTCTGGGATCGGTATGGTTTTTAAAAATGATTATTTTATAGTTTCTTATGTTTACCAAAGCTGCATTTATTTAAATAAACATACAGTAAAATGTAAAAAAAAAAATACAATGTAAAATAACTGTTTTTTGTTTTAATATAAGTGTAATTTATTCTTGTGATGAAAAAGCTTGTGATGAATTTTCAGCAGCCATTATTTCAGTATTCTGTGTCACATGATCCTTCAGAAATCATTCTAATACGCTGATTTGATTTGAATTACTTTTGAACAGTAAGGTATAGACACGTGATAAGACAAACTTCAGATCTGAGTGGAATATGTCCTACCTTTACTTCTGCATCAATGGGACGCAAAGTGTTTCCCTTCTGTGGAGAAAAACAGAGCAGAACTTTTTAATCAGAGATTAAAAAGGGTTAACATGGGCAGCTTTGAACAGAAACAACAACAGCTGTGTACTGCAGTGTTGTATTGATTGCTGGTTCATTTTGATTAAGGGTGATGTTAATCTTTATAACAGTTAATGTTTTAGCAGGCTCTTTTTATTGCACATCACTGCTTCTTGAGTACTATGACAAAGCTACAAAACCTCAAAAATAGTCTTTATGTATCAGGAAATTATTTTGGTTTAATCTGTTTTATGTATACAGTGTATTCAGTGCTTTTGATTCCAATTTGTCGCGTTTTTTTTTTTTTACTTGCCACTCTGCATGTGTCAACACTGTCCTATACAAAAAAAGTATCAGGTATTTGCTACAGACAAATATAGATTGTAATAGAGTTGCAATCATGGTTATGACAAAAAAAAAAATACCAGCACAATTACCCTAAAATTATTATGATCTATAATTATAGATTAATCCAAAATCTATAAAACACACCAGAATAGTGAAATCTATACAGTAGGTAAAATTGTGAAATGTTTTGTCCCATGTCTTCAGAATCAGTGACTTATGAAATGATACCATGTACTACATGTGCTGTTGTGGATGCTGGTTAATGACTTCCAGTCTATTGATTTATTTATTGTTGTTGTTATAACGGACAGATATCTGACAGTGCAGATTTGAATTTGTACATTGGGACATTTCATTCAATGACAAGCCTTACGGAGGGACAGATGAGAAGTGTTTTAACCCTCAAGAATACAACCCACAATCAATATAAGGTTAATACTACTCAAAGTACTTTTGACAACCCCTCCTATCCCTCTCTCTCTGTTCCTTTCATCCTTCTCAAAGCAGTCAAGCTACAGATAGTTGACCCATAGAGACCAGGGCTCACCTCAATCCTTATGCTGTTTGACTGAAAGTCTTTCGATGTCTAAAAGAGGTGAAACCTATTTATTTTTCATTGTGTTTGGCTCATTATTGATCCTGTCAGTGGCTTTGATTACAAATGGACTGCTTGCACAAGGGATTCAGAGTTGATGGAGCAACAGTGATATTGGCAAACATGGACTTCTCAAGCAGAAAAGATTTTCTATATGTTCCCTGACTCATATAGAAAATGCTTATTAATGTATGATTCTCTCAATGTATTAGTATTTATGATTTGTATACGTGAGATCATGGGGAAATTACAAGCAGTTTTACATCGGAAAGCAGTGTGTTGGAAATTTCCAAACATTTGTTTTCGTGTTTTTAGAGAAACAACAGAGTGTGTCGAATTGACTGTGATGGAATTTCTTCTGCATGATTAATTTGCTTACAGAACTCAGTGGGTGATTGTGCTTATCAGTTCAATACCAGGAGACAGCAATTACATCGCTTTAACTCCTGATACACCTCTATTGACCTTCACCCTGTACATTTGCCCCTGTGGGATAAGTGCATTGCTAATGAAGGAGCTGAAGGCGCTTACAGATACCGCAATGCACATCTACACCCCAACGATCCCTATCATGCGGGACACCAGCATTAACTCAGAGTCTGTGATACCAAACATGCCGCATTGATTATGCCACTTTCAAAGACATGCAGCTGGAAGCATTAAAAAAATCATCTTTTTTGGGGGGGGGGTTTGTGAAAGAAAATGTTTAACCTTCAGAAATTGTTCATCTAGTTAGTATGGGAACAAATTCTGTTTTTTATTTTTTATAGGCTTTAAAAGTATTGTTCATTTTTAGTTTGATACATTTAATACATTTAAAAATACAGATACATTTAAAAATAGATAGGGTGATTTTCTAATTATTTTAGCTACTATTATGAAGTATACTTTGCAAACTGTTACAAAATATATTTTGTTGGATAATTTTTGTTACAATAAATTTGGTAATTTTAGAGGCAGTTGTCATCGGTACTACAATCCGTGTACAATTTAAAATGTAATGCCACTTGTCTTGAAAGATGTCAGTTCCTGGATGCCACATTATAATGAAATGTTTGTTTTTTAATAGGAATTCAATCAATCATATGTAATAGTTTCCATTTGCAAGCAAATACCTTTTTATTGCTTTTTGTGTTAAGTGCCTTATTTGTTAGACATTTTATCTGCTTATTGCATCTGTAACTGCTTTAATGCATCTACTTTGCCACCTCTGAGTATTAAAAGGGTGGAGCGTTTTATCTTTTTTCCTTTCATGTCACTGCGTGTTTGGAGAGACCTCCTGCAGCGTGGAGGGCACATGAGTAGATTTTGTTTATTTACATCATTCGGTTTTTTTTTTCAAACGGCTGATTTAGTGTGCTCGACTATGTGTGTGCGCGTCTTCGCCGGCATTATTGCATCTACGTGCGTTGCAGTGAGAAAGCATATAAGTCTTGCTTAATGACCTCAGTTACCTTGGCAACAGCATCCCATAGAGACAAATTTGACAGGGTATGTTAGGTAGAGGCAGGAAGACTGAGAGCGTGAGAGGGAAACTCATCAGACATGGGGGGGGGGTTTAGGCAGGATTACAAAAGGCAAAGCATCTGGTAAAAGGCTCATTTTGGAGCGACTCAACATGCATAGAATTTTTGCTGCAGACAGAGCTCATTCAAACCTCATCATAAGACTAAAGCTTGGAAGCAATTAGCGGGGATGAGCGTCGCATGAAGATAGCACTGGCAAATGAATGCGATGGCATTCACGGATAGCGATTCCATGCGCTCGGATATTCCAGCAGAGCAAGCTAATGTGATCTGGTGTGAATGGTATTATTCATGCCTGCAGCAGCTTGTCCTGAGTCCAATGAAGCCTGTCAGGATGTGTCTGCTCTTCATTACGGTGTGCCCAGCCACAGAGCAGAAGCAAGAGCAAATGCCACTTACTCAGATACACAGAGCATGACACTGATGAAAGACTGGGTGAGAATGTGTGTCTACGAAACAGTGTCACTATGAGAAGTGCTTTAGAGTAGGCAACAAGAGGTGTATTTTATTGGGGTTTTTATCTTACAGCACCACTTAACCCTTGGCAGCTTGTTGCTTTTATAAAACATAGTGACAGCATTACAATGATAAAAGACATTGAGTGAAGAAAATGACTGGTGTTTGCTTCTGCAAAATGTGCTGCCATGATTGCCAAGGTGTTGCTATGCTGTTGCTAAGGTGCTTTTTAGCATGTTGCTGCTAGGTGGTTGGTTACTTTAAAAAAAAGCCCACCAATAAGTCTCCATAATATTTCAATCCCTGGAAATGGCTCAGGTCCCTCCTTCAGTGTAAGCCTGTGGGATTTTTCACCAGTTTCATTGTCGCCAGGCAGAAAATCATAAATCCAATGGCTTACCTACTGTTCAAAATAATTTTAACATTTTTATCAATGCATTAAATTGACAAAAGTGACAGTAAAAACATTGTTACAGAGGAATTCTGTTTCAAATAAGTGCTTTTGAAATTTCTATTCTTTAAAGAATCCTGAAAAACGTATCACGGTTCTTATGAATACATTAAGCAGCACAACTATTTTCAACACTGATAATAATAAGAAATGTTTCTTGAGCATCAAATCAGCATATCAGAATGATTTCTGAATGATCATGTGACACTGAAGACTGAAATAATGGCTGCTGAAAATTCAGCTTTGCATCACAGATATTTTTAAATATATTAAAACTTAAAAATATATTTTAAATTGTAATAATATTTCACAATATTATTTTGGATTTTTGATCAAATAAATGCAGCTTTGGTGAGCATAAGGGACTTTTAAAAACATTTAAATGTATAAATAGATGGTGGGTGAGTAAATGATGGCAGGATTTTCATTTTTGTGTGAATATCCTTTTACGTGTGAACAATTTCAGTCTGAAAGCCATGAATGATAAAGTAAAGACATGTAGTGCCTCATGGTGATGTCACCCAGTGCTTGCCATGCCAATATCATTTTGCATCACATTCTAAAGCGCATTATATATTCTTTACGATTCTTTTGCAGTAAATCCAGGGGGCTTCCAGTGTTGTTGCAGCTGATTTGGCAGGGGGTTTATGGTGTCTTTCAGCTCTCTCCACTAATAAGTGTGCAGCATTTAAAACAGGCTCACACAGAGATAACTTTCTGTCACTGCATAAGAAACTAGTTTAGAGTAAAACCCTCTGTGAAGAGCCTCAGGCAGTGGAGGATACGGCGGAGAGAAGAGCTGGAAATTGAAGTGAGATTGAAGAGATCAAGTGGGAGATCCTCTCAGTATTAGAAAAAGCTCGACCTATCCTGGCATGACATTGCGGTCTGGCGGAGAAAGCAAATTGCTCTCTGAACAAAACCTCAAAGTGGCAAACTCAAGCTGTGGAGAGGATTTTAGTCAAGTGGAGTTTAAATGTTACAGGTGAAGGAACTGAGAGGCGGCAATGCATTTGAAATGGGTTGCATTTTTGTTTGGCAGTCTTCATAGTTTTAAATTCTTTTTTTTTTTTTTAGAAAATAGGAGACGCATTACTGTTATTTAGTACCATAGTATGAATATGAAGCAGGGTTATTTTAGTTAACTAAAAATCATTATTTTAAATAAAGTAAACTTTAACTGAAATAAACTATATTTAAAGGGGTCATATGATGCGATTTAAATTTTTCTTTTCTCTTTGGAGTGTTACAAGCTCTCGGTGCATAAAGAAGATCTGTAAAGTTGCACAGACTAAAGTCTCAAATCCAAAGAGATATTCTTTATAAAAGTTAAGAGTCAGCCACTCCTACCTAAAACGGCTCGTTCTAACACGCCCCCACATATCTACGTCACTATGTGGGAAGATTTGCATAATGCCGCCCAAATGTTCACGCAAAGAAAGAAGGCATCCATTTTATTCTCGCTGTAGTATTGTTGACGCTGCAGCCATGTCCTGAAGACGCTGTGTGCTTCGTTGTGAAAGCGAAACTACTTTGTTTGGTCTTCAAAAAGAGGACGATATCTGCTTCGTCATGCCTAGTGCTGATCCGTGCTGGTCACTGAGGGAATACATCAACTTAGTGCTGTGGATCGCCGGATCGGCTTTCACCGTGTACGAAGCCTGGAGTCGTCACATGTGCTTGCCGCTCTTTTGTCGGATCCGCTGGCTGCGCCGTTCTCAACCCCGCCGCCTCTGCTCACTCTAGCCCAGCCTCAGCGCACGCTAAGCCGGGGCTTCCTAATGTTATTTTTAGCAGCATCATATGACCCCTTTAAAAAAACTTGCTATTTGCCAAGACATAATTTCTCATTTACATTTACTTTAACCTGATGTGCTAAAAATACCTGAAACTAAAACTAAAAAAAGAATACAAACCACATAGACAAATTAAAAAAACGAATAAAAATGACAAACACATAAAATTGCTAAAATAAAACAAAATAATGTGATATTAAAATATCACTGTTTAGTAGCTACATGAAAAATGTTTATATGCATGTTATTTATTTATGAATTTTAAAATCATGCATGTTTTGCATTATTTTGTTAAATAGTTTGACATTTCTCATTTTTTTATTAGTTTCTTTAGTTTTTTATGAAAAAGGAGACACTTTGCTGTTATTTACTACATATTTTCAAGTTTTTGTTTTGTTTTTTATAAATCATGCATGTAAATAAATGATGTAACCACCTAAAAAACACCTATAAACACCACAGCAATGTTCTAACAACCACTCTAAACAGCAACCGCATAGCAACAACCCAGAACACCTAAGCATAATAACAGTGAGTTGTGCATAGACTCACATTCTCTTCAGAAAATATATAAATCAGTTTATATTTGCATATTCATGAGTATGACCTTGCAAAAGGCTGTAATAGTTTGTTTGCACAGGTGTCATACTGATTTGGACCCTTAGATACTTTAATTCAAGGTGACTTTACACTGCAGCCACATTTCATTTGTCAGCTTTAAGCCATGTGTTCAGAGGCGTGCCATGCTTTTTTTAATTTTGCATAGTCAAAGGATCAGCTTTGCTCTAATACACATGCACTATGCTTCTGAATTCAATAAACCTTGATTTTAGCATTCCTTTCCCATCTCTGCACTCAGTGCCACAGCCACAGATATTTTACACACCTGGTTTTATTATTAGCAGATCAGCCCTTGTCTCATCCTGCTCCACTTTCCAGCAGTATAAATATTCCCTATCTATCAATCACAGTCACATGACCTGTCATGTGGTTGGAAAAATGACAGAATGGAAACTAAACTTTAACACCTTACCAGTGGAAGAGGTTTAAAAAGCTTTTTCACTCTCAGCCTATTCGAAAATCTCACCGCCATGTCAATTAAAGGATGCTGAGTAGGAAGTATTTATGCTGTTTAGGGGATTGTGGTTTTCAACACAGGATTAATTCATTAAATTGTTTGCCTAAAGCACCACCTTAACTCAAAGGCCCCTTGACACATCTTAAACCTGTTCTGTTACTGTTACGATAAACAGTTTCCAGTTTGCTGGCAGATCTACAATCCCCATAAGGTTAGCATGTATAAACCCTGGTGTCGCATGAGACAGCAGAATGTGAGGGGGTTTTATTACTAGTGGTGCAAAGCAGAACTTTTTTGTTCAGTTTTAAGAAGAAAGGGAGCCTCATTCAGGAGTAAAGGACCTTGAACCCCAACATTAAGTATAGTTATTTGAGGAACACTTCACTGTTACAGATCAAGAAATGATCATCTTACACAAGATTATCTATATTTGGGCCCAATCTTAAACTGGCCATCCAAAAGAATTTCCTTTTGATATTTGAAATTCCTGTATCCATGTTTCAGCATCAAATGGAAGCCTTTTCAAGAAGAGTTGAATCTATTACAGCAAAAGGAGGACTGACTCCCTATTTACTGCCCATGGTTTAAAAAAATTAATGCTCAGTAGTTTAAGTGCTACTTTTACATTTGATATGTAGTATAACATGCTACAACTGCTACAATTTAATACACTATTGTTCAAATGTTTGGGGTTGTGGTCAAAATGGTTTTTGAAAGGTATCTTATGCTCACAAGGCTGTATTTATTAGGTCAAAAATATAGTGAAAACTGTAATATTGATTAGTGATGGCAAAGCTTAAATTTCAGCAGCAATTACTCGAGTCTTCAGTGTCATATGATCCTTCAGAAATCATTCTAATATTCTGATTTGGTGCTCAAGAATCATTTCTTACTATTGTCAGTATTGTATTGTTTTTTTGTTTTGTTTATTTATTAGTTTATTTTGTAGAAATTGTGATAGATTCTTTGATAAACAGAAGGTTCAAAAGAACAGAGTTTATTTGAAATAGAAATGTAACATTATAAATGTCTTTACTGTCACCTTTGCTTAATTTAATGCATCCTTGCTGAATACAAATAATTAAAAAAAAACGGACCCTAAACTTTTTAATGGTTGCAAATGTCACATTATAAGTGATATATCCATATTTATGTTGCATTATTAATTTGATTAACTTTGTGAAACTTTTACCTCCTGGAATTAACCTCAATAAGCACATGATTGCAAGTGCAAAGTTAAAAAAGGAAGAGAAAATTGAATATGAACTTGTTGGTATTCTCACCTGAAACATGATCCTGTACTGTTCCTCTGGCCTGTTCACCACACACATGTTGCAGCCCATCGTGGCTCGTGGTTTCCGGAGGGGGTGCGTTCCTCTATGCTCTTCGCTTCCTGATTCTCCGACGTAGGTGTCTATCCCTGCCGTCCAATTACAGTAATCCCTCCCTGAGATCAGAGGTTAAGACTCTGCACTCCATGAAAGGGCTTTGATGTTCTTTTCTTTGTCTGCTTCCCTCATTCAGGCCCGGCTGCTGTTTTAATTGAGGTCCATCCCGGGAAATGGGATCAGAGATGCTGCAGCATCTAGCCGTGAGAAAGTCAAGGTCTGATCGCTGAAGAATGGAGGCTCTGATGTCTGTGTGCTTTTTGTCAGCTTTGAATTTCCTACACACTCAGGGAGGTTAGTTTAATGCTTTTGGCTTTAAAACTTCACATATGATGATCAGATATATAATCAGATATATTATTAGACAGATAATGTTGAAACAAGCAGCCAGCAGCACGTTGTGACAGGATTAAATTTACAGATCCCACCGTGTCTGAACAATATCATCAAAGAGATGATCTGCCTAACGTGAACTCCCTGGTGCCGCCGCCAAAGTCGTAGACTAAGACATGAATTATTAAATAAAAGATGCAATAAACAAATGTTTACTTTCCGCCACTCCGTATTCCCCTGAGAGATGCTTTCCTTCACACTCTGATTCTATTATTAGAGAGCTTGTTTCCTTCATTTACATATAACAACGCTCTCTAGGCGCAGACATGCACGTCATGCTATTTGAAGTGCTTTAAAACAGGTTGCTTGAGTCTGTAACTAGTGCCTGCTGCGATTCTAGACTTGTGTATTTCCGTTCCATCATTAATTATGATCACAATTTCAGTGCGGATGTGTTTAGATGTTCATTAGCCGTTATTATAACTGCAAGTCTATGGATGCTGGTGCCATACCTAATTTCATATTCCCTCTCCACAGCATGTTGTATTTGACACCTGCATGTATTTATCTACATAAGTGCTCTATGACTGTGTCATCATCTTTTCCTTGTCCTCTATAAAGTGAGGCTGTAATCCCACCTCTCATTTGCACTCACTTCGCAGATAAGAGCCTGTCGTTCACAGATCACATCAAACCAGCCCTCTTCCTTTCTTCCCGGAATTCCAGATGCGTGTTCATGGCAGAAAATTAATGAGAGAGTGCACCTGTCAGATCATGTCTCTCTCGCACTACTGAGGTGAGCTCAGCTCTTTCTCCGAACAGTATGTAAGTCTACAAGGACTGTTCTCTCCATCGCATGACGGAAGGATGATTGAAAGGGGTGAAGGGGAAGTATCTGATCTTCAGCAGGGAATGAATTGAACGCTGCCCTACATCTGCCCAGCTTCCGAGAGAAATCCAGATTCAACAGAGCCTCGGGATATAAAAGAAATCTTTCAAGTGCGTATTAGTCCACTGCTAATGATGTTCCCTTATGTTTCTGCTCCTCGCGTCTGGAGATTTGGGATGTAATCCAGCTTGCTTGAGCGTTTGAAGATGAATGAAGTGGAGCAATGCGTTTCCAAAGAGAAAAACAATGTCATTCAGTCTGATGGTGGGATGGTAAATCTGAAAAATCCGTTCGAGAATGTCTCAAGGCTCTGCTGGAGTGGCGCCAGCCCAGCGCATGTACATGTGTGTATGCAGAGAGAGGAAAGGCTGCTGGGTTGGAGGAAACGTGGGGATCGGCACCACTGCACAAGCTGGAGCCCATTACAGCTTTACAGCAGGCCCCTCCTCTCCCGGCAATACTAGCCAATATTCACCAGCCAGCTCTCATCTCTCTCTCTCTCTCGCTCGCTCGCTCGCTCAGCCTCTCTCTTGTACTTATAGGTGATAGCTTCACCCTCCCACCTTCCTTTCCTGCTTCCCTCATATCTTATTTCCCAGCCCCTCTTCACTGTCTCTCTCTCTTTCTCTCTGTCACCTGTATTGGAAGCAGCTCTGCACTCGGGGTCTTTGTTGCCTGTTGTGAAAGGAGCTGAAGATGTTGTCAGTCTCTGGCTGTCAGCACACAAACAGAATTTATGACCACATAGACCAAGGAGCTTTGAGAAGCGTGACTCTTTCTTGTGGCCATTCTTTTTCGCCTTAACGCTTGCAACCATACTGAATAGGACAATAGGTGTGCTATATAATCTCAAGAGTCACAATATAGTGCATCACTGAGTGCCTTACTGCTTGTATAATAAAAAGCAATGTTATTCATTATAAAAATGCATACAAATTTAAATGAATTGTTGCATTCATAATTTTAAAAAATCTTATTCATAATAAAATACATATTAAATATATTAGTAAAATAAATGTATTGAAGTGAAGTTGCTCTCATTAATTTTTCCTAATTAAAAAAAATGTTTCAGACTTAAATAAATGAATAGTACTTTTTGGAAAACTACTTTTGTACAGTAACATGAAAACAAATAATAAAAATTAAAAAATATGGTTTCATTTTAGATGGAGGAGCAGGTGGCATCAGGTGCAGACACATTGAGGTCATGTAACAATCTAAATGCTACTGAATACCGTTTAACCACTCTGTTACTGGATGATTTTTGATTGTATGTGATGTGGAATTGCTGCATTTTGTTTTTATTATTTTATCATTTAATTGTATTCCACTAGAAGATATAGTTCTTGTAAACAATAACAGAATATTTTACTTTATTTATTTTTTCTCCCTCCACTAGAAGATATAGTCCTTGACATGTAAACAATAACAGGTAGTTTTATCTATGGCTTATTATATACACAGTTGTTAGGTAAACAGGTGTTTGGCATCATAGATATTACTATATTGTGTATTTTTGCACATTTTGAGCACTGTAATGATAAATCGGCCAGTAGGACTGGAGCTATTTGTTTTATAATTTACAGTAAGCAATGATAAAGCAATATTTAACTAGCACAGTGTAAACTGAAGTACCTACTAGAGTCTAATGCTAAGGGTAGTAATTATTGACCTGTAGCTGTGCTGAGCACCAGTGGTGTGTTCTGGGTAAGCCATGACGTGTTAGTTATAAAGCGTGATGTGGTCCCTGTGCGAATTGCTGACTGGAGCCCATTACAGCTTTACAGCAGGCCCCTCCTCTCCCGGCAATACTAGCCAATATTCACCAGCCAGCTCTCATCTCTCTCTCTCTCTCGCTCGCTCGCTCGCTCAGCCTCTCTCTTGTACTTATAGGTGATAGCTTCACCCTCCCACCTTCCTTTCCTGCTTCCCTCATATCTTATTTCCCAGCCCCTCTTCACTGTCTCTCTCTCTTTCTCTCTGTCACCTGTATTGGAAGCAGCTCTGCACTCGGGGTCTTTGTTGCCTGTTGTGAAAGGAGCTGAAGATGTTGTCAGTCTCTGGCTGTCAGCACACAAACAGAATTTATGACCACATAGACCAAGGAGCTTTGAGAAGCGTGACTCTTTCTTGTGGCCATTCTTTTTCGCCTTAACGCTTGCAACCATACTGAATAGGACAATAGGTGTGCTATATAATCTCAAGAGTCACAATATAGTGCATCACTGAGTGCCTTACTGCTTGTATAATAAAAAGCAATGTTATTCATTATAAAAATGCATACAAATTTAAATGAATTGTTGCATTCATAATTTTAAAAAATCTTATTCATAATAAAATACATATTAAATATATTAGTAAAATAAATGTATTGAAGTGAAGTTGCTCTCATTAATTTTTCCTAATTAAAAAAAATGTTTCAGACTTAAATAAATGAATAGTACTTTTTGGATGAAAAATGAAAACTACTTTTGTACAGTAACATGAAAACAAATAATAAAAATTAAAAAATATGGTTTCATTTTAGATGGAGGAGCAGGTGGCATCAGGTGCAGACACATTGAGGTCATGTAACAATCTAAATGCTACTGAATACCGTTTAACCACTCTGTTACTGGATGCTTTTTGATTGTATGTGATGTGGAATTGCTGCATTTTGTTTTTATTATTTTATCATTTAATTGTATTCCACTAGAAGATATAGTTCTTGTAAACAATAACAGAATATTTTACTTTATTTATTTTTTCTCCCTCCACTAGAAGATATAGTCCTTGACATGTAAACAATAACAGGTAGTTTTATCTATGGCTTATTATATACACAGTTGTTAGGTAAACAGGTGTTTGGCATCATAGATATTACTATATTGTGTATTTTTGCACATTTTGAGCACTGTAATGATAAATCGGCCAGTAGGACTGGAGCTATTTGTTTTATAATTTACAGTAAGCAATGATAAAGCAATATTTAACTAGCACAGTGTAAACTGAAGTACCTACTAGAGTCTAATGCTAAGGGTAGTAATTATTGACCTGTAGCTGTGCTGAGCACCAGTGGTGTGTTCTGGGTAAGCCATGACGTGTTAGTTATAAAGCGTGATGTGGTCCCTGTGCGAATTGCTGATAACCTGTTATCTCATACTGTCACCTCTGACTCCACACTGCACCATGGGTAGTCATGCAAAACCAGAGCTGCCTTTTAAAAGAGTTTATTTGATTTTGTGAGGTACTGATTTATTTAGAGAACAGGGATTACCATGCTAAATCAATATAAACCAGCCTACAAAACCCTACTGTGATGCTTTCTCTGGCTTTATTATTACAGTCTCATGTCATTCATGTCTGTCTTTCTTTTTATTATTTAAAACGCAGGCTCTGGTTCATGATGATGAAATTTTGCATTGCATATTGCATTTCTCTTTCTCTCTATATATGTGTGTGTGTGTGTGTGTATATATGTACACAGCTTGTGCACCATTCAGACATGAATTAAATATGACTTTTAAATTCCAATTAAATTGAACTGAATTTGGATTGATGAAGCAAACAGAATACAGAACTCTAAATTAAATTTGAATTTAAGGAGGTAGAATCAAATGGAATAGAATTTAAATAAACTCATATAACTGCTTTAAGTTTAGTTTTTAGTAATACATTTTGTTTATAAGTTAAGATTCTGAATATTGTATATTTGCCATTACAAGGATTGTCACTGTCCTCCTCTGTTCTCTTTCTTTCTCTTAGACTACACTTCTGTGTCTTGAAGACAACCTGGCAGCTGTGATTATCCTTGCTGACACAGGATAGACCTGTCCAGTGCATCTTTGGGAATCAGAAAAGTAGGTTTATTTTAATACACTCCACTGCCCTTTGACGCACAACTAAATAACATGCTGTTGACTGACATTTATCAGTTCACACGAAAACACATCTCACACTGAGATCCACCTCACAGCTCCACATGCGGAGCTCAGTGTTGTCAAATGTATGCTATAAAAATAAAATCAAACAATATATAATTTTATAAAATTATATATATTTTGTGTGTGTGTATTATATATATGTGTGTATATATATATATATACTGTATATTTATTTCATTTTTTTCATATTTTGCAATACAGACAATGAAAATCTCACTAGAGGATCTCACTTTTTTTTTT